GCTGCCTTACAGATGGTGATTCAGACCTTGGAATTTCAGAGTCACTTTGGCTGTTTTCCAAATCCTCCCCACTGGAAGGCTCTACAGATGGCTCATTCTCAGTTTCTGGATTTGTGTTCCCATTATTACGGTTGACATTTATTTCCAAACTGAATCTGAAGTCACCACTATTTGGGTTAGTCCGGCTCACTGCTCTCCAAGACTGGTTTCCTCGTTGCCCACTTCGTGTTGTATTTCCAGTCTGTCGGACTGAATTAAGCCAGTCTATTATAGAATCTCCATTTGAAACATCTTCTGCGGACTCTGCACCTGCAAAAAAGACAGGGAACTACCAAAATTAGAGTACTGAGCTAATTTTGGAGTGATCTTTTCCAAGAACATAATTGCTTAGTTTAACAAGTGACAATTTAGAAGTGCTTAATCCTACCAAGTGCTATTGTGGTTTCACAGGTAGCATCACAATTCTTATCTACCAGAGCTCTTTTAAGGGAGCAGGAGTGGACATTTTTCTAATATGTACAGATAGGGTACAGCCATCACATAGCAAGATATTGTTTATCTTAAGTAAACAGAAAGTCACATTTCAGGTGTCATAACACATCAACATTCTGTGTTTTCCTTTCCAAACAATTAAGTGATCTATTGACCACTAAATAGAGAACTAAGTTTGTCCTGACCCTTCACTTCAAGAATGGCTTTATAGCAAATCTGTCTCACTGAAGAATGAACCCCGGTGGTAAGCTCCAAGCGACCTCCACCAATCTCTATACAAGGGTGATAACAAAAGCAACACAGCATTTTTGGAAGGGAAGAGTAGTGAATAAAAAAAAGAGGGATTGCCAAAAAGCATCCCAGAAGGGAACAGACAGGAAGGCAATTTAAAAAAAAAAAAAAAAGAAACCTAAATGAAACTTTATCTTGATGCAAGTAAGAGATGTGTTATGAGTAAAATCTGTCCCAGACTGACCTCTGCAGCAGATATCACAGGTAATGTTCACTTAGTTTTGAAAAAAAGCTCACCTTGCACCTGCCTAGGCTTAACTTGTTCCACTCCTGCACTCAAGTTAAGGTCCGTATGGGGTGCTAAAGTTAAGAGTTTTCACAAATACTGTATATACCTCTATTCTCATCACTGTTTTGCTGTGGTGGACCTTCTTTAACTTGGTGTAGCCTTCTCAGCAACTCTTCTTCAGTAATTTCACCTTAGAAAATAAGCAAAATTTTCCAAAAATATTTCCAAATCATATGTATGGCAAGCATTATCAAAAGCTTCTAAATAAAGTACAAGCCACTGCTTGTCTTTTTTTCTGATTAAATCCTGCCATAATGAGACTGCCAAACAGGTTGCTAAGGGGAAGTTCAGGCACTTCAGCACCATTGTCCCAAGTTAAGTTTTGCTGAAGCTGAAAGATCCAAGTTTAAACCTATTCAAGACAGATGTGCTTTCCGGTTCTGTAATCTCTACAACTTCTCAACCATTTTTGTCATCCTATACCAATTAAATGGCTGTCCAGAGCAAAATACTTAAGAAAACACTTTCACAGGCATGAAAAAAAGGTTTAAATAAGTTGAAGTCATGTCTTATATTAGAACTGGTTTGAGTTAGGTATTATCCTATGAAGAGTCAATTTAAAGTAGTAAGTCAATTGAAAACTGACATAAAAACGCCTGTGCAGACTCTCACACCAGACTACTTATCCTAGTTACAAGCTCTTAACCTCACCAGCACAAAATTTTCACACAGATGCTTAAGGGAGATTACTTTTTGATCAGAAATGGCTAAGGGTCCATAACTGGAACGGGGTCAACTCTGGGCATTCCCACCAAGTTGTGTAAACACTAGACTTTTGTATCCAATGAATCCACATCATCCTAACTACCTCTCCACTAAGTAGGGGACCTCTCAAATTTCAGTATGCACAAATTAGCAAGCAGCTACTTCCTATCATGGAACACAACTGCAGCACACAAACTAAATGGGTGAAAGTTTCAGGAGAACAGAAAATGACACAAATCACCTACAAACAATTCTAGTAAGATGTACATACACAAGCATTACCTACCTGGTGTTCCTAGCAAATTGTTATCTCTCATAAGCCTGTAGTCCTCTTCACTCAGGTTGTTTACAAACTGATAGAAAGCTTCTTCTCGATCTAACCGATCTAGCTGACTCTGACGTTGTGCTTCTGATTGATCAATATTTCCTTTATCACTAGAATCTGAGCTTTCCATCTTGATGAGTGGAAGAGTACCTAAAAAGGAGAAAATAAATCCTTCATCCAGCTTAGTGAAATTGAGGCATGTTTAACTTGTACTACGTTCTTCATTGTTATCCTTAAATTTGGCGAGGTGGGGGGTTTGCTAACGAAGCTTCAGTTAAGATAAGCTGCATAACCACAGGGATCACAAACGAAATAATTCTCAAAGCATGAGCCTCTTCAGGAAGTACAAACAAAATCTATACCCATCATTACCAAATACTCAACAAGCAAGCATGAACATGTGGAACATCAGCCATAACCCTTAGTCCATCTTTACATAGTTGACTACACGTCCAAGACGATCCGCTTTCTTCATGTAAAATATTCCTAATGTGAGGCAGCTGCAGTAATCAAAAGCATGCCTTACAGTGCCATACAACACTGTAGTACAAGACATAAGCAAGCCATTCTTGGTCATGCTCTCTCACTCTAAACGAACATGGGATTAAGTGTCCACCACTTCTTCCTGCCCTGCACTATGGTGAGGAAAGCAAGAATCGATCTAAACTTACTGCCTGCTATGAGAAACACCCTCTTCAACATCCAAGTGAATTTTAACAGAATGAAGGATTCACATATCAAAGACAGAAAATGCCACAGAACACGCATGTGTGCAAAAAAACAAACCAACCCGAATTGTTAGTTCCCTCAGAAAAGGAAAAGGGTTTGTAAAATCAACTTTGTAGTTTTATGTCAAGAGAAGAATTTGCTTGCAAGCTTCAGCATTTACTGAATTACTGATGTCAATGACTAGAATTTCCAGGACAAAATTCCACAGGGTATACTAGGTATAATTTCTGCTATAAAGAGTTGTTTTCTATATTGCATATTCTTCATATAATCTTCCCCTCATTGTTTTTTATTTGGATGAGATCTTCGACAATGTCTCTCAAAAAAAATTATTGATGAATGCCATGTCTATACTTGATAAATATTATAACAAAATACATGCAAATGCAGGAGACATTCTGGCAGTAGTTGTGCTATGCAAATATATCAAATGAAGTTAAAATAATAACTAGTTTCCTTAATCACTACACCTCGCTATTCAGAACATCAAGAATTTTCCTGTACAACTGGTAGAATCTAGTTACTCAGAGAGGTGATTAGTCAGCTAATCCTCTGCATGCTAAAAAGCTCTGCAATAACATTCCCCATCAGAAAACATTCCTTTCATTTAAACCATACTTCATGTGACATGAAAATACTGGAAGAACAAAGCTTTTCTGCTTCTTGCTGGAAAGTTTCCAACACTTAGACATCTGTCTAGTGCAAAAAGCATCTTTTTTTCGGTTTGTCAGCACAGCTGTCAAGTCAAGGCTGCCCACAGTTTACATTAGTGCTTCTCCACAGAAGAGCAGCACTGCATGATCTCCGGGGGTAGTTCATTTCAGCTGCTGTTGTGAAAATTAAAGTGCACTGACAACCTCAGTGTGTAACAGTAGAAAATTCCACAGGATAGGACATCCCATTATTGCAGACTTGCAGATTATAAAATAGCTACTCCAATCCTCTTTGTCTTGATTTCTGACACAGTAGAGCTCGTTTTTAAGTTAGTCATATTAAGGCACAAATGACTTGTTGCCATTCAGTAATACAGTATGCATGGCTACTGGTATTATTTGGTTCTGTGAATTTCTGCCATTTTACCAAAGAAGTTAGGCTTATTTTTCACCTTTTTATCAGTAAGCAGCACCAATCACTACGGTTCCTACTGTTTCAAATGGAAGCCTATCAGCTTTCTCCCCATTGCTAAATCTCTGGTGCAATCTAAAGACTGCATGACCCATCTTTAGACTTGCATGTGATGTGCTGTCAAATACACTGATAAATGAACCCATTCACAGTGAGAGTTGTGCAATGGTTTCAGCAGGTATGTTCAACTCTGCCTGGGCTCAGTTATGAAATCTGTATGCCCTTCAAATCTCAGACACAGATTTCTGAGAACATAGCTTGCTTGAAACTCAAACAACTTTTTACAAGCCTTCTGTAGCAGAATTACAACTCCAAGTAACTTCACTTAAAGACATATTCATTCTGGAGAAGATACCAGAAATACAGACAGCTGCTTTTAAAAGAAGCATCTGAATAAAGCCTCAAGCAGAATGCAAGTCTTGCATACAAGTAAAACCCTGAAAGGTGCATTAGTTCTTTGGGGATACACATCAAAACTCTAACTGGCATTCCTTTTTTTAGGACAACAATGAAAAAAAGTTGACAATGAAGTTGAAAATAAGGGAATGTAATAAGACGCTATGGGACAGGAACAGCATAAAGTTTTGTAAAATATTTTCCCCAAAATGACCACCACCTTGGTATTTATTGACTTTAAAACACATAGAATCTCTTCATAAAGATGGCAATATTAACATATTTGTAAGCATTAGACTAATTCTACAACAGCTTTTAAAAAAGAAAACTGCACTATGCATACAAAGCATGACATTTGTTTACTACTTATGCTTTTGAAAATTTTCCTTTAATTTTAAATTCCAGTGCTTGCAGGCACCTTAGCTATATAATGCCTATTTGATTCAATGACATTTGCCCATTCCATTTCAGAAGATGAAGGGGCACTGTTCTTGGTCAGGGTAAAAGGGAGAGTCAAAACAAGTGAAGGCAGAGGAAAGGGGGCGGAATCTCTTCTTTACCAACAGACTGATGTACACTTCAGTAGGCGATCCTTTAGGAAATGCTCAGAGTAAGTCAGTCTTACTTATTTCCAGGTTTGCTCCTCTTTTCTCCTCCATCATCTCCTATCTTCCCTCCCAAACCATAAAATCAGCTACTGGTCAAGACTGAAAAGTTGTTATTGCTAAAAAAAAAAAAAAAAAAGCCTCAGAAATGGGATCTTGAATTAATAATTTCATTTACATTAGGACTATTTCTACTAGTGACAAATTCATGCTGCTTAGCTTCAGTGTCCTAGAAATGCTATATATCTATATGGGATGATTTACACTGATGGAAATATAGATGGCAAAGAAATGCATAAATGCCTATCAACACATTCTCCCTACCTTACTGTTGACAGCAAATGGGACAATATTTTTCAGACTAGAGCTCCGATATTATCACCAGTAAATGGAAAATGGGATTTCTACCTCAAGGCTTCTATTCCTTTCTCTCTCCTCACTGTCCACTCAGCTCATTGTCCACATTGTCCATTTTAAGCTTCACCCCCACCACTGCAGAGTGCTACGTTACCAGACTGAACTTACTAGAACATTTAGACTACTACTGTCTCAGCATGACTCCATAGGTCCCATCTGTCTGTACAACAGGATTTCCACGGTGCCAGTTACTATATCACCTCCCTCCTATTTCAGCATGGTAGAGCGTTGCAGAAATAAATTGAAAACCTGTCCCTCATTGAGGATTCTACCCTCAGCTCATACACTGCAGAAAATTCAGACTGGCTTAAGGAAGCTGACAACAGTAACACCAGGAAACCTGATGAGGGAAAACCAACAGGTGTACTATTAAGTTACAACAAAATAACATTTGATTATCTAATATGCAGGTATGCTTCAACTGTTTCTCTTTCTTCCAGTGGTTTAGTTCAACTCAAAGTAAGACTTTGTTCTTATCCAAGTTAAAAGATTCAGAATTTCCTTCTTCAGTGTGCTCCCTTGTCAGCACTGAGTTGACAAAGGGTGGGGAAGGTCACATCTATGAGCAGGAAGTTCACATCTGTTGATTATGGCCAACTTCAGCTCAGATACCCAGCAGTGAAAAAACCTCTTTATGGGAAAACAGCAGGGCGGGGGGAGGCGGGATATGATCACCTACAAGTTGCACAAAACAGAATCAAAGCTAGAATAAACTATTTTCTCCTTTAATTAAAAAAAAAAGAAAAAAGCAAAAGGAAAGGAAATATTCTTCAGCAGTTGAATATGCAGACACATTAACTACAGTGAATTCTTAACTGGTGTACCCGTTCTTCCACAAATCAAAGTATCTTCCCTGCAGTGATGCTTCAACAACCTCAGAGATTTCAGAGCACAAATGACTAGCTGTCTCTCCACTGCTGTTAGAGACTGCAGGAGCAAAAAAGAGTAAGACCACAAAAGGTATTGTTTGTTACATTCTTTTACTCCAGAGGAAGTAATGTTATGCTCTTTCGGATAAGAACAACAAGAGTACTAGATATTCCTTCAATAATGCAAAGTTATCATTCTTACAATACAAGAAATATTTTACATTTTCCCTTATGCCAAGTCATGTGTAAACTAAATCTAATCAGTCAGGACCTTACTAATGCTTAAAAACAATCTGGTGGGACAGAAAGCAGTGATAAAGTACTTGTGTTGTCCATTTACCTTCAACAGTAACACTGTGTATCTCCATGCTGTTTAGCACTTATGGACTACCCAGAATTCTTCCCAGAAAAAGTACTAAGGGACCATAAGGCACAGTGATAAATCACTAGTTCTTCCTCCATCAAAAATGTGCAATATCTCCCGACGTTAATTATCTATACTGAATACCAAGATGCTACCTTAGCCTGCATTCCTTATTTTTTTTAATTAAAAAAATACACAAAACCATGAGAACTCTCATAAAACTAACTAGGTAAAACTTAGAAGATCTGACAAACTCAGCGATCACTCATTTGCAGAGTTAAAAAGAAAAAGCAATACCTTAAAGTTATAATCTCCATTAGATTTATGAGGCAAGCCTCAAATTGTAATGGGAGAAAGGCACTGAATTTTTTAAAACTGCAGAAACAACTCAGATGCTCATGAGCTATCTGTGCAACAAAGATTTCCTCTACAATTCCCCCCACCTTGCTGCTACTGGTATTTCAACATTATATGAGAATCTGTAGTGCCCTGTGTGTTAGGAACATTTCCTGAATTACCTCACGTCCCGCAACATAATTAATACCTTTGTATAAACAAAATACGTGATGGCAATATGAATAAGTGTTTCATAGATGTGCTCAGCAGAAGGCTAATTTCTCATTTA